AGTGGCTTTTCACAGAGTAAAGAAAGAGTCATAGTCTAAAGACAAGTGGCTGATACCCCACTTCTCAATGCATTGTAAAGCCAAGGTAATCTCACCTAAAAACTTTTGTGCCCTTAAGCATAGTAAAAACATTGGCTGCTGCTTTGGAAGGAAAAAAAGTTTCTGGATTAGTTAACACCCAGACACAACTCAAACCTCAAATACAGCTACTTTTCCACCCTGAGCCTCTCCAAAAGGCTGTGCTGACCTTAAGAATAAAAAGCCAGAAGACAACAGCAAGCCACACTGAAGATTTTACTAGTAGAGCGTCTCACCTCCACCAGGGTAAGGGCAGCACATGAGGCATTTGGCTAATTATAACTCAACTTTGTGCACCAGGAACGTTGCAGGGGATGTCCCCCCAGTTTAAATAGAGCTGGAGCCAGATTTTTCTTTACAAGCATCAGAGATACTTGCCTAATGTAACAGTTTGCTTCTTGACTCTCAGTTTGGTTTCCACAGGTATGAGAAGCTAGAGAGCTAAAAAAGAAGTCCTTCCTGTTCCTCTCTTTCCAAGGCAGCGTCATTGCTCTTCCCCACAAGGACAGTTAAAGTGTGACAGGTACTGTGCAAGCCAGCACTCAGAAGCCTCAGATGCCATCATCTGGGAGGAAGTGCTACACTTTCCATTACTGGTGAATAGGCACAGTTTAGAGGTACACTCCTCCGCAAAAGCATCCCTCAAAGCGCAGAAAGAGCTGTGGTCTCCTACCACACCATCGGCCCAATTTCTCTATATATGCAAGACGTATAGACACACACAACCAATTTTCAAGTGTTATGGCCAATAAGATTATCTATTCCAGTGGAGAAAGATACTTTAAGCTCCAGCAGTCTGAGTCTGAAAACTGAAGGTGAAATCTCAGCTCTAATAGAGCCAGGAGAAGTTTTTTCCCCCAGTGACTGATGGGGCCACATTTCCTCTGCAGCACAGAGAGAACATGCTTTAGTTTTAAACACACTGGAAATTTCACATGCATTACTTAACACTTAAAAATACACATTTCCCTATTACAACCATGACCTAATAATTATTCAGTGGAGATCTCTGGTGGAAATAAGTGCCAGGGACGTGTTTTGTTGGTCAGCTGGATTTGTTGACCATTGCATCAAGTTTTACTCTCAAATATACTTGTGCAGGGTATTATAAATCCATTACGATTTAAAGTAACACCAACAAGGTTAAATAAATTAATTATAAGATTTGCAACAGATTCTGACCAGGTCAGGTATTCCAAAGGCAGTTGATCATAGTATTTTATACAATCATGGGACAGCATAAAACAGATACTTATTCCTTTTACAGGTGTCTTGGTCCCTCTGTAGGTGTTTCAACTTCTCCGATATGTGACTTCGGTGTGGCAAGAGAACTGAAGCTATTCTTAGACTGTGGCAGAAAGCATGAAGTGGTTTGCTGGCAGGTCTTACACTCCCGGCTATAATGAGAGCAAGTCATTTCATTTATTTCCCTGTCAGATGAGCAATGAGAAGACTGAAAGCCAGAGCATAAATAAGCTCCTCAGATCAGGAACAAGAACAGAGAAGCACCCAGTTGTTATCACCACCAGCCGGTTCCTCCCCATCCCCCTTGCAGCAGTCTAGCCATCAGTTTACAGCATGGGGGGCGGGGGGGGCAGGGGGAAGAGGGAGGAAAAAAAATTATTCACCAAATTACATTTTGCACCTCTGCTTTTAATTTGGTGTTTCCCTGCAGCCAAATGCAGAAGCCTTTGAAAATTAAACACAGGACTTCAGCAGGTTCACAAGGCTCCCACTGCTGCGGCTGGAAGGCAGAGGAGGAAGGACAGGATGAAGACAATGCCACTAGACACCAGCCAGGGAGACAAAGGCAACTCCTCTTGGGTTAAAAGCCGTTGAAATGTGTTGGCACAGATGCTTCAATTTTTCATTTCATTTCATTTGTAGATTTAATTTAACTTGGAAAAGAGATGCTCAACTCCAAACCTAAGCATTTCATTCTGGATGAAATGATATTTTTCATCTGAATGCAAATGAATTTCCCACTTCCTATTTTTAGGACCCAGTAGCAAACTCAAGCACACAAAGCCCCAAGACTTCAGGCTGCTTTTGCTATGAGCCAAGGCGCTCAGGGAAGGTGGAGATGCCTCGCAGGAGAGAAAGGGGTACAGCCCCACCAAGGAGGGTCCAGGCTGCTGAGCCAGCCTGGGGCCACACCGCCATGCTCTCCCTTCCCAAATTCAGCAACAGCTTTACCATTGGCCTCAAGCAGAAGGGATGCTGGGCTCACATCACTGGTTTGTCCTCCTCTCCTTCCCAATGCTAAGCAAAAAAAAAGAAAAAAAAATCCACAAAAAGGGAGGCTTTTAGGTTTCAGTAAGCACGCAATACCATGGTCTAGTAGGAAGGTGTGTGAGTACAGGAGTAAAGTATGACTTCTTCCTATTTTGTATACAGACTGAGCAGCAGCTTCAGTCCTGACAGCTTAGGCTGCTAGAACCCATGTAGAACATAAAAATAGGAGGTTTATGCCTGTCCCAAGTGTTCGGCATTCTGAACAAAAAAACCAAGCAAATCTTCGCTTCTAAAGAACTTAAATCAAAATTATGCAAATGTTATAATTATGACAAAAAAATGTTCCATGTTAAAGGAAGCAGCAAAGAGAGGCATGGATAGAAAGAAGGAACAGAGGTCTTCAAATCCGCCCCCCATACCACAACATACATTAAACCCCAATGTTCTCTTGTCACAGTGCTAGTTTATATATTGGTCTGCTACATTAAAAATAAATCTGGCCACCTCTTTTCAACTTGAGCCTAATAAGGTGCCCCATACATATATTTATCTATAGATCACAGCCTGGCCTTTGGAAACAGCAGAGAGTTTCTCTGCTGCGTAAAAAGACTCGGGCACCTAAAACCTAAATACAGGCAGGGCCACGTTGTTACCCCAGCGTGCTGCAAGCCAAAGCTGTAACTCAACCCTCGGCTTTACCGATCGGATTCGCCCCACAACACGACACCGTGCCACAAAAACGGCAACGGGTCTGCGGGCTGACAGGCAGCACCAAACATGGAGAAGGTGGCACCGGATCAGGGGGACATAAACTTGGACAGCCAGGCTAGCAACCAGTGTTTGCAAACACAACACCGGGGATCAGATGGGCCAGCAATAAATTAGGACCGGATTGCGGCGAGCAGGAGAAATCGCTCAAAATAACAAACTGAGGCAGAGAGGGCTCCCCAGCTACCCCCAGTTTCATTTCGGTGCCTGAACCCAGGGGCATGCACACACCAGCTCCTGGGTTTTACCAGGACAGGAGGGGGGAAAAAAAAAAAAAAAGCTATCTGACAAGTGAAACTAAATAACAAGCACTCCTCCAGCTCAGAAACTTAACCACAGCCTTCCTAAATGCTGCTTTATTGTATGCTCAACACCATTTGACCCTAGTTCAAGCCCCACTTCAAAGGGAGGGCGAGGAGTTAAGGTGATGAGGGGGAAGCTCCTTGCTACACACTTCCCCAGGTGAGGTCTGCTCTGGTCCAGCCAGCTGCTACATCCAAAAAGCAAAGGATTTGGGCTTCCTCTGTCTTCTAGCACACTTCCAGATCTGTTGACAGAACAGTTTGGGGAGGAGATTTCTGCTAAGCAGGTCTTTGAAGCAGATGCTAACATTTCTCAGTGGTTGAAAACAAAAACCAGCCCAAGCAGTCCCACAAGCACTCAGTTAAACCCAGCACAGCACCCAGGGGCACTTTTTTTTTTTTTTTTTTTTTTTACAGATGAAGGGCACCATCACAACCTGAGAGATTCAATAAAAGCATACTGGAAACCTGTAGCAAGTGTCAAAGTAAACCCAGCATGACCATACACTTGCTGGGAGCAAGAAGAAAGTTCAGTGCTATTTTAAGCTTCCACAAGATACACCCACAGAGGAGTATCTCACAGGACCCTTAGCTCCTATAAAGACCTGAAACTAAACAGAGGAAAGGGGATAAACTATCAGCCCAATACATTCTCCTGCCACATTGTACAGGTTAGAAGTAGTAAGCTGTACAGAAAAATTAAGTGAATGTATACAGTACAAGCTAAGCAACAAATCCTTCCATAGTTTCTCAGTGCCACAGCCAGTCTCTGCCAACCATGCCTCCGAATGGCATAAACACCCAGAGGAAAGGAGATTCGATCTAGAGGGCAGCATTGTTATCAGTAGGAGCTACAGAATCAGATGAAGAAAGAGCAGTGTCCTTGGATGCTGCCTTAGCTGGTGGGGCTCATTTCTCCTAAAGCATTAAGGGATAGACCAAACACCACATTAACACAGAAGGCTTTACAGGAAAGCTATATACATATATAAGCATGCATACATGTAAACACAACACTTTCAGATCACTTTTTTTTTTTTTTAAGGCAAATTATTCCTTTTGTCCGCTATTCTCGCCCCGTATCACCAAAACAAGGCTTGACTGCTCCTCAAGTTTTGCTGACTGGTCCATGATGCAATGCCTCAGACCAACTGGCCTCACTCATCGTTCCTCCTCCCTTCTTCTACTGTCCTACTGGTCATCTCCAGCACCTATGAGTTCAGTTTTATATGGACTAAAATAAGGCTGCTAAGTAAAGGTCAGTCCGATGAGCTAAAAGAGAAGTATACCCTCCTGGACCTCTGCTCCTTGGGCTATAAATACTCAGAGCAAGCACTGGGGGAAATTCTTTGTCTGCACAGACAGACACCAGGAAGCACCCTTCCTCCTCCTTCCAGTTCCCACCCTCTCCGCTACTCAAGGAGAACAGAGAAATGCAAGCATCTCCCCGCTATGTTCATGGAAGACGTTTGCTTTGCCATCGGTGACTCAAGGCACACAGGCCCGCCCAGAAATAAACAAATGCTTTGAAAGTTCAACCATCAGCAAGGCTGACGGCAGAATACACGCACTGCAAAGAAAACCAGGAGGTTACACACAGTCAAAGAGGAGGATTACCTTTCAGGACTAGGGGTTCCTTGCCTTCTCGCTTGAGTGACTCCAGCACTATGTGGAGTGGCTGGGAAGGCATTACTCTGCTTGGCTCATTGGTATTCTCATCATAAACTATGATTTCTTTGGAAAAGATCCTCTTGAAGGAGTCCTTGCCTTCCCGGCATGAAATCAAGTCCAAGACGGTGATCTTGCCCTGCTGGAGCCTTCTCCGGCTGATCTTGTCAGAACAGTTAATGTGGACAGCCCCTTGAATGTGGCTCTTATTATACTCCATGAACGGCCTGCAGTCAATGATGACAGGCCCTTGGTTCTGTTGGTGGCTCTTGCTGCATTTGGTCATCTTCTTCGCCAGATCGTTGGGGTAAATTATTTTGATGCTAGCGAGTTGCTTGGTGGTGCCTGAGACCGGGCTCCCCACTCCGCCCAGCGGGCTCAAGCTGCCGGCGTTCTCATTGCTGTTGACCATTTGGTTGGCAGGGCAGGCGGTGGAGGCTCCGGCGTTGGTGCTGCTGGTGCTCGCTTGAGTTTGGGCCTGAGTGTCCTTGTCGTACGTTGCCACAGTGCAGCAACTGGCACTGCTGCATCCACAACTCAGGGAGCGTGCAGAGCCGTTAGATGAGGGCATATACGTGAGATTAGCAGTCTTTAGGGACACGACAGCTGCGCCGAGCAGACTGGAGTGGCTCTCACTGGCAGAAGAGGCAGATTCAAGATAGCTAGAGTCTAAACAAAGGTTGAGATCCTGAGGTCTCACTGGCCTCGAAAGTGCCACTACTACCCTGTCGTCTAAAGGAGATGGAGGCATGAGGAGGCTGAGCACTAGCAAGTTAAGAAGAACTCAAGATCACCCTGCAAAAGAAAAAAGGAAGGGGAAACGGGAAGAAGAAAAAGGTGATGAAAACAGGTCGTGAAATCACATAACCCCACAGATACAGCTACTTACTTTGCCAACATCCATTATCCATGGGTAACAACCTAACAACCCCTTCTGACAGTTATCAGCTCACGGTAGTCGCTAAAAAAAAAAAAAATCTCTTCCAATCCTACAGCAAATTCTTCAGCTACCTGCATGCGTGCACATGGCACACAGAATCCATGCAACTAGCCTGGACTGTGCAGCTACACCCAGGAGGAAGCATTTGTCTACATGCAGATGGTGCTGAGCTATTCTGAAAACCCAGGCTGCAAGGTACGCAACTGATAGTGACAGAGAGGCATGATGTCTTGTTCCCATTGCTTACTGCAAGGGAAGCAACTACTGGGCTGACTCGACTACTAGGAAGAATGCACAGGAACTGAATGTGTCAGTGGTGATATGCAACTTTTCCAGCAAGCTAGAATAAAATTAGCTTGTGAATAAATTCTGCGAGACTGTTACAAACTTGAACACACGAAGCTAAACACAAGACAGGAAAATTAGGTTCTGGAGATCGTTACAAGAAATAAGCACCGTGCTTTGCGCTTCCATCCCCACCCCCCCTTCAGAGAGGTTACTCCAGCCCCCGTTAAGTCCCCAGCTCCAGGCCCGGGAAGGCTGCTGCTCTCCAGCAGCCCCAGGGGCAGAAGATCCCACCTTTCACAGCTCCTAGCAAGAGTGGTCCCCTCTGCCCCAGCCAAGGTCACAGCCTGCCCAACCTTCGGCTTGCCGTTTGCTAAGAGACGGCACACGGCATTAGAAAACCACGCTCTCCGCTCGGGAGGAAAGGAAAACAAGAGCAAGACAACCTAAGAAAGCCCAGAGAGTGTCTCCTCTTCCCCAGCAACTTTGGGAGCAGCTGCAGCTCTCGCTGAAAAACACATCCTATCAGCAACTTCACAAACTCCACCAAACCCCCAAAACCGAGCAAGCGCTGGCGGCACCGGTTCACCTCTCCGTCCAGCACCGCACCGGGCCCACTGACAGGGAGCACGGAGATGCCC